ATTTCAGTCGTTTCTTCTTGTGTACTGGGGACTTTGAGACTTTGAGTATTTCACACCTTTAACTATTGGAAGGGAAGTAATTTGTATTTTAAAAGACTTAAATCGATCAACTATGTCTTCTATATATAATTGCTGATGAATTAAAACACTATTGTTCTCATATTCAAATTCCACACCCAGAAGCTTTCTTGTTTTACCTAAAATTTTCAAATCAAAATGTGAACTCAGGACTTTTAATATCCTTTTGGCCTGAACTTCACTTTTCCCAAACACAACTATATCATCAACATAAACCAACAGAATGACAAAATCTTTAAAACGATAGACACAATTACACCACTCAAACTTGATAAACCCTAGGTTACATAGTGTTCTATCCAACTCGTAGTACCATAATCGCCCACTCTGATGCAAACCATACAAGGCTCTATCTAAACGACACACAAAAGTTTCTTTATCTCGCTCTACAAAACCCTGAGGTTGGGACATGTAAATTTCCTCTGATAAAGGAGCGTAGAGATAGGCACTTTTACGTCACATTGTATATTTGCCCATCCAAGGTGTGCAACTAAAAGGGAGAAAAGAGCCTTATTACTGAAAAGTTGACTACAGGAGAGTAGGTTTCATCATAGGTATCGTATTTAATTTGCCGATAACCCTGAGCCACTAAACGAGCTTTAAAACGAACAATGTTTCCAAATTCGTCACGTTTAATGTTGATGTTGAAATCCACCTGCAACCTAGTGGAGTCTTGTCTTTAGGAAGTGGAACAAGATGCCATACTTTATGCTTTCGCATGTTGGCCATTTCCTCTTCCATTGCCTCTATCCATTTAAGTTTTTCTGTGGATTTCATTGCCTGGTTATAAGTGTTTGGAATTGAAACCATCTAGTCAGCTATCTCGGGTATATGACGTTGAAGGAGTGCCAGTTGGGTCGATTTCACCACTATAAGTATTGCTTCCCTTGAAATCAAACAAGGTAGGATCATACTGAATATTATGTTCAGTGCAATACCTTTCTACATCATTTGGTGATCGTAGTCTTTGATTAGACCTCTCAAAATAATACACATCCGTACGAGTGCCGTCTGGCCTTGGAACAGGTTTACGAAGCCAAGTTACTTGTCTCAATGTAGATTGAGTGTCAGTGCCAATTGTAGAAGAAGGTACATTGGTATCGGTTCTTTCCTCTATTTCAGGAAAATAGCCAACTGGAGTATCAGTAGATTGGAACTAACCCTTTCTTCAGATTCCAAATCAGGAAGGGTGCCCAGTGCAGCTCCACTGCCACTTTTCTGCATTCCAACTGACTCTTTAAAAAGTAGCATTTAGGGTTTCTACTACCTTTTGCTCATTTTCCAACCAAATCTTGTACCCTTTTGTTCGTACACTGTACCCAATCAATCGGCCCTTCGTTGCCTTTGGATCAAGCTTAGAATTTCTTTTAGCCTTTGGAATTCCCACATAGGCAATCGTTCCAAATGCCTTAAGGATGACGTACTGATGGTTTCCGCTTAGTGTACAATTCGAATGGGGTTCTATCTTGGCCCTTATGACAAATTCTATTAAATGAATATGCAAAATACATTACTGCATCTGACCAAAATTCAGAACTCATTCCACTATCATGCAAGATTGCACGTACATTGTTGAGAGCTGTCTGATTAAATCTCTCACAAACTCCATTCTGTTCTGGAGTGTAGACATCTGTAAATTCGTGCTTTACACCATTTTTATTACAATATGACCTGAATTGATCATTATCATATTCTCGCCCATTGTCAGTCCTAAAGTATTTCAACTTAAGGTTCAAAGATCTTTCCGCACGTGCTATATGCCTTTCAAATACTTCAAACACCTGACTTTTCTCCTACAATGGGGTACACTACCACATAACGAGAATATTCGTCAATAAAGGAAACGAAATAACGTTCACACTATTCCTACCTGGAATGTTAATAGGTCCCCATACATCAGAAAAAAACCCTTTTTCAAGCGGCCTCTTTACTTGAATACCTTCTAAGGGTCTATAGGAGATTCGTCTTTGCTTATTGATTTGGCAATGTTCACAAAACAAATTAGGTGAGTGCTTTAACACAGGAAGACCTCGAACTGAATGTCTCTTACTAGTCCTGACAATAGCACCATAATTTATATGACCAAACCGACCATGCCATAATTCACTATTATTATGCTGAACTGTGGATGCCTCAAATTTTACAGATTTGCCCCCCTTTTTGACTATTTTCGGGAATACATGATAGTTACTTCCTATCAACTTAGCCTTTGTACAAAGTTTCATTTTCATCATCAGTAACTTTAATTTGCCCATTTTTACCATAAAATCTTGCTCCATTGATATCCACCCTAGGTCCAGATATTAAATTTCGTCTCAGTTCAGGTGAGTATAACACATCTTTAAGCAAAATAACCGTATCCCCAAATTTCATTTTAACAGTACCCTTCCCATGAATTGGAAAAGTTACCCCATCAATAGCTACTAGCATATTCTCATTTTTCACAGGAGAAAAAGTATCAAACAATTCACGATTTTTACAAAAATGATGAGATGCAGCAGTATCAAAAATCCAACTATCATCATTTTCTTCCAAATTGTTAACATTAGCTTGAGCTATAAAATGGGACTGAGCATGGGAATTATTTTACCTTTTACTCAACTTGGGTTTATTCTTACACTTAGGAAGATGTTTTATTACTACTAGATACAGCTGAGGAAACAGAAGAAGCAGGTGAGGGTGATCTGGAAAAATTACCTTCTCATTCTACAGTATTTTTGAATATGACCTGGACGGCCACATTTATAACACTTGAGCCCTTTAATCTGCTTAAATTTGGGTTCACAGTTAGTACTTTGGACTTCTATAGTCTTATTAGAATTTTCCCTATCTATCTCTCTTAAACCAAGACGCGTTTCCTCTGCTAGTATTTCAAGTTCAACATTTTTAAATATGAACTTTTCATCTGGCCACCTCAAAACATTCTGAACTACTTGATCAAATTTATCTGGAAGGAACCTAAGAAACTGGAAACATATATATACGTCTCTTACAGCCTGATTAATATCAGCTAACTGTTCAGTTACGCGTTTTAATCTAGAAGAAAAGAAACTAATACTTTCATTTGGCTTAATTTTACAATTTAAGAACTCTGAAAACAGGGACATATGTCTAGACCGATAATCTGGCTGGAAAGTATTTGGCAAGCGTATTCCATGCCACTACCGGGTCATCAATTTCACATATCAAGTTTCTATATTCAGGGCTTACATTCATATAAATTAACAGTGATAATGCCAATCGACTTCTATTTTGATAGTCGGCAATAATTTCTTTTGTAATACCCTTAACATCATTTAAATCAGGACATTTTTCAATACCTTTAACCAAAAGCCATGCATTTTTTTTCATTTAAAACAAACTTCATATCTTTGGACCATGTAAAGTAATTACATGCCTCAAGTTTAGCAATATTATGCATGACACTAACAGTAGCCATATTTGAATTTTAACAAAAACCGCCCCCCCCAATCTCTTAAGTCCTAAATTAACTTTAAACTTCAAAAGTCTGCACTAAAAATAACTCAGGGGCTGGTGGCCCATAACCAAAATGATGCTAAAGCAAAGTTTAAAGTTTAAAGAATTTAAACATTTAGCAGTAGTAGCAATAAAAGCTCCCTGAGTTAAGATGTTGTACTGCAGACATTGAAGACAATAAAAGGTTTTGAACTTAACCAATTTATTAACAATATAATAAAGAATAAAAACACAGAAAATAAATTTCAACAATATCAGAGTTAGGAAAAATATAATATAACCATCATTCATCAAATAATATTTTTACCTGGTCTCCAAAAACACTGGCATTCTATACAAAAAAAATGTCCTAAACATTAATTATGCGGCCTAAAAATGAAGCTGGCTACACATTCAATAAGTCCATGATCAATGGTCGAGAAAAACACCTGAAATTTAAATGAAGTTCTTGAAAACACTTAAAACCGGCCTAACTCCGTTTGCACAAGGAATCGCCGCTCACGTATTTTAAATGCCATCTTCATTGAAGAACATGGATGCCGCCCACGGCAGTCACTCACATGGTAGAAATCTCTGGAACCAAGGAACTTTATTCTGGAACAACCATCTTATGGATATCAACCAAGGAACTTCATTCAGGAAACATCATCCCGCAAATCGGAACCAAGGCACTTTATTCACCGGACTGCATGCGTCCTTCTGAAGGGGCTGGAAACCGCTCACTCAAGTGCCAGGAAAGCAGGAACTAAAAGGGTTGAGCCAGAGCGACGCGAGATACTTATAGCAGAAGTAGGCATGATGTCATCTCACGGCAACCAATCAGCTATCGGCACAAATCGGCTTTCCAGATGACGTAACATCACGTTTCGTTTTTACATCTCAATTAGGTTGAAATAGTCCATTCTCAATGCAAACAGTGGCAGCAAGAAAAAGTAGTAGAAGTAACTACTATATTACATTAAAATAAGAACTAAACTCAATAAACATTTCAAGGAGGATAGATTATGCAGTAAAAGGTTTACAATAAGTTATATTTTCCAACAAGTAGCTCCAGAAATGGAAATTCTTTTTGACATAATCGAAAGTTCAAGCTTACTTTTATAAAATTGATCTAACAGTCTGCAAAAAGTAATAAGCCAGATCCAATTCAAAGATTAAGGAACAACGCAGTCTGCAACATTAACTGAATTAGATAATTTTAGCTTAGCTTATACTGTTCGTTATACATTAAACGCGCATGCATAAACGTATTTTGCGCATGTGCACATGCATATTCGCAGCCGTACTATGCGTGTAATATGCGTTGCAGCCGTCATTGCGACGCATGCGCAGAAAGTTTGTAGCTTTGAGGTCCGGATTATGGGTGTCCGAATTAACAACTTTTGACTGTATAGTGTATTGTTACATGAGTTATTTATCTAAAAATAATGTGAATTTAAAATTTGTTTACTTTTGTAGATGAATGTCAAACAAAATATGGAAATGCCAATGCTTGGCGTTATTGCTGTAAAGTATTTGATCTACTTACTATTGCAGCCGTGAGTAAAAAAAAATTGCTTTTTTTTCCTCTTTGGTTATATATATATTGATTTCTATATATATTGGAAAGAAATTTTATGTATTCATATTTTTTTTTACACCTTTCATTTTTGTTGTTTTAATTAATGGTTTTAAATGTTTTTAAATCTTAATGCTAAGAAGTATTAGATTGATTTTTAGTAATTGCATAGAAGTCATGTAGAATTTTAATAATAGAATAAAAAAATTAAATTATACAAATATATAGTAATAAAAATTCTTATTGCTTCATAAATGAACCATCTTGTATATTGTATAACATTATTTTATTAAAGCTAAGCTTGTTGAGGTTGTTTGCCTAAGCTATATTTCAGTTTTAAACATGGTATTTGAGGATCTATCTTTACCTGCTACCAAATGTCTTCCCTCTTTCATTGCTAACAAAACTCTGAAGAGGACTTTTGGATTGTCAAAATTTGAAGTGCCTGAATCATCAAAAAACCTGTCTTATCTAGCATCTGAACCCTAGCATATCAGCATTATGGCAATCACTATCCGTTAGTAGCAGTATGATCCATGGCATCTGTATACTTTTGAATGAAACTGAACAGACCTTTTTTTTTTTTTTTAATTGATGTTTGAAAATTTTGCATAGTACATATACAATTTGTTTGTAAAATGCATGGATATAGTCTTTGTATGAGTAAAATACCAATGCGTTTTATAAACTTGAATAGTATTTAATAATTTATTGTTAGTCCAAAGGGGCTTTGTTCCTGAGCTATTATAGTTTTTGTTTTGCGATTTTGCATCAAATCAGTCAGAATGCCCGTTTCACTTTTCAAACTGTTGCCACCAAATATTATTGCCCTCTATTATATTTGAAGAAATTAAATAATGAAGAATCTGAATAAATGTATGTACGTTTCTTGCATTGTGATAAAACAACGGTACCTAGAGCCATCCAATTTTGAATGATGTAATCCTACTGCAAATATGGGCATCTGGAAGTCCAAATTTGAAGTTTGGAATTTGTTTTATTATCCATTTTATATTTTGTAAAACTTTAACGAATTTTTGATTAACAAACTCAAGGATTTCAAAGCGAGCAATGGCAGCATTGTACAGAAAAAACATTATCTCCAGTCTCAGAAATTCTAATGATATGCTCAATTTAAAATTATTTTATGATATTGCTGTTGAAACTGAATTTTATAGTTTAAGTGCAAAGAATAATCATATTTAATAAATAAAGGTTAAAAAAAAGGCCCTGTGGACATAATTTAAAATCTGAAACTTTTCAGATTTTTTTTTTTTTTTTTTTAAATTTTCTTTTTATATTATATATACATATATTTTATCCTTGTGTTTTTGCTATTTACTGCTTCTGAATAACTTCGTACGAGAGCTGTCTAATAAAAACTGATAGTAAAAGCACACAAAAGAAAAATTATATGCAGAGAAACATGATGATCTTTTTCCAAGCACCTTCTTTCCAGTGTCCCATAGCCACTTTGGTCTACTTTTTAAAATGTGTAGGAAACAATTTTGCGAAAGCTGTTTCAGTGACTTGTGTACTACTTTAGTTATGTAGAATTTATGCAAAGCTGCAACTATAGAACATTCTTCACTTTATATGCAGGAATCCCAGCGAGTGGGAAATGTTTATATGATGGTATCTCTGTTTGTCATACATATATTGAAGATTGGCATGCTTCTATACCATATGTTTATGATTAAAAAAATTTTATCCATATTTTCAGCTGATTTTGTTTGGGAGATATTTTTTAAGGAGGCAAGTGAGTATATCTCCTTGGCTGGTTCTCTGATTAATCGCCTAAACTCTCGAAGAGTCATTGGGCAATGCACTATTGTCGCCATAGTACACGATTCAGAATTTCATTAAAATGTATTTATCTGGCAACCTATAAATGGTTGGAGCAGTGCAGAATTTTGCTTTTAAAATCCATTTATGTGGCAGCTACTTATTAACTGTTCTTAGGTGATTGTGATACAGTCAAAAGTCTTTAATCCGGACGTCCATAATCCGGAATGATCTATAATCCGGACCCCAAAGCTACAAACTTTCTGCACATATGCGTCTACGCATGCGCATAATATGTTTACGCATGCGCGTTTAATGTATAACAGACGGTATAAGCTAAGCTAAAATTATCTAATTATCAATTTCAGTTAATGTTGCAGATTGCATTGTTCCTTAATCATCTAATTTGATCCGGCTTATTATTTTTTGCAGACTGTTAGAACAATTTTATAAAAGTAAGCTTGAACTTTCGATTATGTCAAAAAGAATTTCCGTTTCTGGAGCTACGAAAGGATCTACAAAGCGAAAGCATGTTCCGATGTCCATCAAACAAAAAGTGGAATTGCTGCAAAAATTGGATAAAGGCACATCCTTTGATTCTCTAATCATTCCGAAATATGTTTATCAATTTCACGCTGCTCTGTGGGAGGGAGGACGACGCGGTGCGCAAGGAACTGGAAGTTGATCTGTCAGCACTATCCTTATCTTCAGGGCAGTTGTTTTTATTTTATTCGGCTTATAATTCCTTACTAAATGTAGTATTTCATCTCGATGTACTCCGTCTTTGATATGATTTAAATCAAATTCCTCGTCATTATAAATATCACGAATGCACATCAAATAGTTTTCTGGTTGCAATTTTCTAATTTCGACTATGTGTAATGTATGCTTTACGCATGCACGTGTTGAAAGAAATGTTTAATAAAGTAAACAAATAAATAGAAAGCTTTTTTTTTTGTAAATTTTGATACCCTTTCTATCATAATTGCTCTTTATTTCATAAATTACAGTTTCATATTTTTAATTTTATAATTTCTGCATGCCATCTTACCAGATTTAAACTGATGATCTATAATCTGGAAAAACCGATAATCCGGAATCGTCGAAGTCCCGACGAGTCCGGATTAAAGACTTTTGACTGTCTTTTCCAAATTTTTGCTTTTTCTGGTGTTTATTTAGTGGTAATAGCTTTTTTTAATTTGATCAATTCTCTGTTGTTTTTGTAAGTTAAAATAGGTTTATATACACACAACAGAAGTGTGGGAAAATAGCTTATCAGCTGTTCTTGGATAATTGTAATAATTGCTTTTTCTGAATATGTGCAATTCTCTGATCTTTTTGTAAAGTTAAATGTTAATGTGTGCATGAGAAAAGAGTGGGAAAAAATTCTGCTGTGATTTCTTTTATTAAACGGCTCTAAATTTGACGACTTATCAACATTTTGGCAATTTTAAGATTAATTTCTATAGAAAATTTTTAATTCGAATGTCTGAGAATTTTTCGACGTTTTTTTTGGGGGTGGAGGAACATTATAACATTGATAAATTTAACTAAAATAATGGTAATATATTTAAGTTACATTTAAGGAATAACATGAAAATAAAACATTTTTATTTTCTTTTGCTGTAATATTATAAAGTGGCATTACTTTCCATTTTGGCGACTTATTATGCAATATTTTGAATCTGAAAAATAAACAAGGTAATAAATGCTATAAAGCACAGTTTACAAAACAATTCAAGGCAAAAGCAAAATAGCTATATAATTAATTAAAATTTTCTTCCTTTTAATTTTTTCATGGTAAGAAATTTTCCCACATAATTGTCTCAGAAGATGTATCCAGTTTTCTCTATAAAATTCATTTTCCACTTTTTCCACGTTTTTTTTTTTTTTTTCTTCAAAATATTTCTATCCCTTTTTCTCTTGCAGAATTGGTAGGGCTAATTTTTCTTCAGGATTTTATACATTGCAACTTAGAAAGTTTATAGAAAGTTTAGAAGGATTTCAAGGCAAGATTTACAGACCCACGATTCTAGAAGTCTCCAGAAAAATTGACAAAATGAAATTGTCTTCATTATATTAAAACATAATGGATGTATTTTATAGAAAGTTTATGATGAATTTCTCACATTTTGGGGAATTTTTGGAAGGACAAAGAAAACATAATGTTTGAATGTTGTACTTCTGATACTAGGAGTCTTTTTCTTAGCATGTTTATCTTCCCTATATTTTCTCAACTTTTCACTAGTCACATGTATGGAAAATATCAAAAATGTTTCTAATCTTTTTGCATGGACAGGCATTTATAAAAAAGAATTTTTCTATTAATAAAGAAATTGAAAACTGATAATTTAAAAGAATCACCTTATATGTCTCAATGGAGTCTACACAGTCTACACAGGACTGACACAAGGCATTTTCCCATTTGATGCAGTCAGCATGGATCCTAAATTCTGCTCCCACTGCCTTTCTTAAATTCTAAAAGTTTTGCCATTTCTAGATTTTGTTGCTCGGTGTGTCACTAAATTCTAAAAATTCTGCCTTATCGGCCCTGAAACCAGCCCTTACGATACATCATTTCATATTTATCACCTTTTTCTTTACATTCTAAATACATTTGGTTTTTTAGAATAACAGAAGTCTTTTAATTAATTCCAAAAATTCTAAAGAGGAAACAAATTGAATGCATAAAGAGGAAGAAAATTATTCTTCGATGATATGTACAGTTATTATTATGCAAATTAACTAGTTGTTTGTAATTTTAGTCTTTACTATAAGTTCCCCTTTCCGTTTCCTCACCACTATGCAAATCAAATAGATTTTAAACTGAGGTTTTGGAACTGGAAGACAAAGTGTTTTTGCCCTCTGCTTGGATGTTGCATTAGTTTCTGCCAGCTCTGATAATTTGTAATTATTCATTTTTGCGTAATCACCACTAACATTTGAATTTGTTACAATGATAGAGTTACTGAGGCAGCTTAGATTAAAATTAAAATTAAATTGTGTAGTCTTTGACTACTAGTCCACATTTTTAGTTTGAATGTGACTGTTGCTGTTTAATTCCATCACCCCAAGCTGTAGTTGATTTTGTCAACATAGGAACGTGCCTGTATGTTCGAAGTTCTTTTTAAATAAAAGGTTTATTTAAACCTTTATGTGACTTTGTAGTTACGAGGGCTATCCAGAAAGTAGATTACGTTTTGGAATAAAAAAATAAACAAAGTATAGGAAACAAATTTTATTATATACAGATGAAAGCCACACTCAAATACTACTTTTCTACATAGTCACCATCAATTAAGGCATTTATCGTAGCGATGTCGAGCTTGGAAATTCCTTCGTCGAAAAATTCGGGCCGCTGCGCCTTCAACCACTTCGTTACCTCTTCTTGCCTTCCATCTTGCACAAAACTTGTGGTAACCAAGCTTTTCGCTGATGATTTCGTGCAACAAACTTCGCGAAATTTGTGGAAAACTCAAAGAAAGTTCCGTTATGTGAAATTTTGATTTTCACGGACTTTAGCATCGACTTTTTCGAGAAGTTCGGCGGTCACTATGCTGGGTCTCCCACTTCGATCTTCGTCGTGAACATTGGTTCGGCCATTTTGAAATCTTTGACCCACTGACGCACTCCACCTTCAGTGATAATGTTGTCCCCATACCACTTCACGAAGCTGCCGATAGATTTCTATCGGTTTACAGTTTTTTGCAGTCAGAAACCTTATTACTAGTGACCTCGCAGCTCGCGGGATTTTCAATTAACGCAGACATTTCAAACCGTCACAGTATCTGAACGGAGCACAGCACGAACCTCTCACTAGCACGGCTAGATGCAGACTGAGCTGCGCAACGCTCTGACCCCAAGATGGCCGCGCTAGCCCCGCCCCTAGCGGACACAGACGGAATCGTAATCTACTTCCTGGATGGCCCTCGTACTTTCAGATATAGCGATAATTTGCTTCATGTCTATAAAAGATTTTGGACTAATTAACTTTTACCAGATCAAGTACAACCTCATTACATACACTGTTAAGAGACTGGCAAATTAGGAGATAAAGCACACAAAAACTAGTGGGAACATCGATTTGTGTATTGAAAGAGATTTTTAATTGTTAGGAAAGATGTTTAAATATAAATTAAGCCAAAATGTCTGGGAAGGCTTCAAATTAAAAAGACGCATAAATATTTTGTTATGTTTTGTAGCTTTTAATGTGGAATTACCCTAACATTGTTTAAGAATCAATGTTATGACATTGATTTAAAACTGAAAATTTAAAATTACATGCATTTTAAACTGTGAAATGTTATTAGATTGTGATTTTAATAGTGCTTTTTCAACAAATATTTTTTTTAAAATAAATAAAATTTAATACTGGTCATGAAAATTTATAATGTTACCTTATTTAATTATTTGTAACTAACTACTTACCTTTAAAAGTTATCTCTGCATATTAAAGCAAGTTATTACCTTTTATTAATCCTTACTGTGGTCACAAGATAAGCACAAAAATGTAAAAATTAATTTAAAACTTATCCTTTGCATCTAGTGAGACTTAAAATAATACAAAATAACTTACCACCTCTGGTGCATTAGTGGCTTATTGGAACCTTAAAATGTATTAACTAGGTTACAATGCCAGGAACTCTACATGAAGCTATAACACTAACTATGTCAGACAGATGGAGCACAACTAACTTTCAGAACTTGCCAGCCTCAAAACTACATCAGGCTTTTAGGTTTGTTATGATTAACAGATCTCTTTCTAGGCAAGCAGCAGCACTGCCAACAGCTAATCTTCTGTTACAAATCATGCTGATTATGATTATATTTCTCATTTTAACCTATGCCATTTGACATAAAAATCTACCTGCTATTTACTAAACCTCTAGCCTAAGTACGTGGCAAAACGAGACATAAAAGAAAGAATCAACATAAAGCTAACTGTTAGTAAAACATAAATAAAATGTCCCTAATCTTCTTTCAAGCTATTACTTCTTTCAAACTATGTCCAATTATTATACTTGTAAAATATTTAATGCTACCTGATAAACTTTATAAAGGGGATTTAATTCTCAAATTTGTTTTATAGTTAAATTTATTAAATTATGTTTAATAAGAATGCATCCTACTTACAGATCTACTTATTTTTAGAGGGATATTACAAAAACGGAATTGAGATATAATTTGATTCAATTTTAATTGAATTTATTCAGCTCCCATTTGCTGATAGGTCCTTAATTTGTTTCATTAATGATCCTTAAAAGTGCCTTAAATGTGCAGAAATATGCACGAACCCTGTTCATCTTTCTTTATCCTGAGCAATTTTTGAAATATTTTCATAAATATTTCACACTGGAAGTAAATGAAGTCATAAAAATATAATAATAAAATTACCAAGCACTAAAGCAGATGTTCTCAGACTATGGTATTATTACATTATTTTTGGTGGTACAGCTTTTGTACAGAGATTTGAATAAATGTAAAATGGTGCCCCTTCTGCATAGGGAATACAGATATATTTCTTATGTAGCAAAATCCTATCGTTATACATACTGAATAATAACAAATCCTTTTATTAATCCTTACTGTGGTCACAAGATAAGCACAAAAAATGTAAAAATTAATTTAAAACTTATCCTTTGCATCTAGTGAGACTTAAAATAATACAAAATAACTTACCACCTCTGGTGCATTAGTGGCTTATTGGAACCTTAAAATGTATTAACTAGGTTACAATGCCAGGAACTCTACATGAAGCTATAACACTAACTACGTCAGACAGATGGAGCACAACTAACTTTCAGAACTTGCCAACCTCAAAACTACATCAGGCTTTTAGGTTTGTTATGATTAACAGATCTCTTTCTAGGCAAGCAGCAGCACTGCCAACAGCTAATCTTCTGTTACAAAATCATGCTGATTATGATTATATTTCTCATTTTAACCTATGCCATTTTTTTATTGTTATACATATTGAATAATAACAAGTCTTCTTTTGCACTAAAACCAAAGCAAAAAAACTGACTCTGATTTATACTGAATAGCATTTGTAAATTGATATTGTTAATATTTTCATTTCAGAATGATTGCAGATTATAATAAACAACATATCCAGTTTTTGTATTTTTATTGTATTATTTTTAGATAATAGATGATCAAGTGCTCTGTGTGCATGGAGGGCTGTCACCACTTATAAGAACATTAGATCAAATTAGAACTATTGAAAGAAATCAGGAAATACCTCATAAAGGAGCATTTTGTGATATCCTTTAGTCAGCTGAAATATTTTAAATTACTGTGTGAACATGTTCATTGTTAATTATTACCTTGATCAAACGTGATTTGCACAAAAATAATTGCTACATAACTGCATTTTGTGTTTCTTCCTTAACATTTTGAAAATCTAGTATGGTCAGATCCTGAAGATGTTGAAACATGGTCTGTAAGCCCACGAGGAGCAGGATGGTTATTTGGTGCAAAAGTTACACATGAAGTAAATATAAAATTCTATTTAAAAACATGTTGTGCTAACATTTCAATCCTGCGTATGCTTTTTTTTTTTAGTAAATATATGTGAGTTTAAAGTATTGATAGCAAAATGTTAAGTTTTCATTTTTAATTCAGTTTTAGTTGAAAGAAAAAATATTATATATTATATAAATAATGGGGTATATAATATACCAAAACAAACACCTTGTTATTATAGAGTGTGTGTTTGTGTAGGTTAAGCAGTTAGGTACTGACGACAGCCAGGACAAGGGTGAGGCAATTGCTTCACTTGCCTCAGGTGAACTAATAGAAAAGGTGCTAAATTAGCTACAAAAATTGAGAAATTCATTTTAAAAAATAAATTACAGTTTTAATTTTCAACTCTGGAATACGCCAATGAATATGAAAAAGAGTTTTTTATTATAAACAATCAATCTAAATTAAAAGAAAAATTAATAAAATTCATTTATTCTCACAAGAGATGTTGTGTGATAATTTTCTAACATAAAATTTATTATTGGAAGTAGCATATTAATTTACAGTTGTAATAGGCTGCATAGCACAAAAACTATAAAAAAATGCATAAAAATTATACTTCTGACTTGTAATGCTGACAGGTTTTTGCAGTCTGACACACAAAAGCCCATTGGAATAGCATCGGAAGACTGAGTGAGAATGTTTGAAAATGAAATGTACGTTACATATCTACTTTTTTGGTGTAACATTTGTTGGTGAATTTGAGCATAATTTTTGTTTTGTCTTCTTGTATCCATGTTTAATTTGTACAGAAACTATATATACAGTTTCATTTATGGTTACTTCTGAAGCAGACACATATTGCTTGATGGCTTAAACAAATCAATTTAATTTGTCTCATTCTTTGTCTCCTGGAATTAAAATGTAAGATAAGATATAGCTCCTTTTTTTAAAAAAAAATTATGTGTATAAAGTTAAATATTAAAATGAATTTTTTAGTTTCAAAGAAGTAAGAACAGTTTTAAAATTTTGAATATTTTGTAGAAAATTTAAGGCAAACTGTTCTGGCTAATTCTAATACACTTTTGGTGCAAAAGAAAATATTTTTTAAAAAAATCAATTTTTTCCCCTTGATTCTCTAAGGTTATTGATATAAAAACATATTTAAAAGAACCTGCTACTAAATTTTATTTAAAAAAATTTTAAATACAATTTTGAAAAAACTAAGATGTGAAGAAAGAGGTACAAATGAGTGCAATAAACTCTTGATTTAAGATTCAAACATATAAAACAACAAATTTGGTTACACCAGAAGTGGGAAACATGTTTATTGGTGCGAATGAAAATTAGTGGCAAACTCTTACCATACTTGCAAATTTTAACACATTGAAATCTATTGAGTTAACTGAAGACATGGGATAAAAGTAATGATAAAATATGAAGCATCATTAAATCTCGTTAATTTTAAAACCATTCTTATGTTACAGGTGTTCACTCTTCAATTTTAAAATTTTATATATTTTACTTTAAAATTATACTTATGCATGCTTATTTTAAAATTATATATAATGTTGAGATAACATTGTTTTTGAAATGTTATTGTAAAGATATTATTGTTTTTAAAATAATTTCCAACTAGTAATGGAAATATGTTTGGATAGTTATAAAAAATCCAGTGTTTTTAACATGAAAATTATGTTCAGTATGCTACAATCTTTGTGTTACAGTCTTTCTAGGGTTATAAACATAAGAATTGTCAGGTGCTTTTCATTTCAAAATTATAAATCATTACATAAGTTTTATTTTTCAGAATATATAATATAAAGCTATAATTAAATGTTGTTGCAAGAATTATTGTTATTGTTTAAAATAATTAATTTTAATGTGCATAAAATTGTGCAGGTATAGTTAATTTGTATTGTGTGTAGGAATAGATATAACACGTGTCAGCAAAAGCCCTTATCTGCCTTCATTATCATAAACTTTGATCGTAGACATGTATTTCTAACTACATGAATGTTTTAAGTAATTTAAAGATTCATGCTTTGGCGTTATTAAATTTAAAGAAATCAGTTTTACAAAGATTATGTTTGTATATGTATGTAGACATATCATGTATATATATATATATATATATATACTTAAAGCATCTAAATTAATCAGTAAGTTGGAATAAAAGCAAGGCAATTCATCTATAATATAAAAATTGCAACCCTATATAGGAGGTCTAACACAATGTCAAAACTAATCCAATTAAAGAGAGAATTCATATTAGAACAATCTTGTAAAGTAAAAAGCGTGAAAGGGAAAATACATAAAATTATACAAATAAAAATTAATCTCCTTTTATGGAAACTCCAATTCATAACTCATCAGGAAAAAATGAATTAAAGCTTCATAAAAGTTGACTAATATGTTTCTTTCTCCTGGTTCATTTGAGATAAGAAACTGTAGAAAGATTTCATCAACTTTTTATTAAAGACTTTAAAATTCATATAAAACCAGAAAACTTGAATCTCAAATGTACCAGAATTTTTCCTACACATTTTCAAAACACTTAGAAAAAAGTTTAAAAAATTACATAGTGCTAAAATGACAATTAAAAACACATAGATCTTTACATTACGTACCTTGAAATTTAAAAAAAAAAAAAGGTCTAAAACTAATAGTCATTTAAACAAACTAAAAAATTGGGAGGTCCCTGATTATGCTTAACTAAACTTTTAATATCAAGAAAACAAAAAAACTGTACTTAAAGATTTTCAAATTCACATTCACATTTTCAAAACACTTAGAAAAAAGTTTAAAAAATTACATAGTGCTAAAATGACAATTAAAAACACATAGATCTTTACATTATGTACCTTGAAATTTAAAAAAAAAAAAAGGTCTAAAACTAATAGTCATTTAAACAAACTAAAAAATTGGGAGGTCCCCGATTATGCTTAACTAAACTTTTAATATCAAGAAAACAAAAAACTGTACTTAAAGATTTCTATAAATAAAAAGGTTAAATATGAGCTAAAAACTGAAAACCTATTTGAAACAATAATTGAAAAAATTTGAAAAACGCAAAGTTACTGAAATCTTAGCACGAGCTTCTGTGCATGATCTAAGTGAATTCTAAAGATGACCAAACGATGTTCTTGCTAAAGAAAGTAGAATTCAAAGTGCTCTGGAGAAGCCAAAATTTTGTAGTTCTTGGGAAAAGTATGCGATAAGGTTCAGACTGTCCAATAGCAGAACAAAGTATTTTCACATGTGTTCAAAATATCCTATCCTGTTATATTTTGTGGGGGGGGGGCTGTCAATGGTTGGGTGTGGTCTGCAAAATTATTACTGACTAGGAGAGGGTGATCATCATCCCAAAATGGCAGCATAAGAAACTTCTAAAAACTAAGCTGCTTTCTGTAAAATTTTGAAGTGCATAAACAGAACTGGCTCAAAACTTCCGAAAAGAAAAAAGGTATATGTTATAAAAGATAAATATCTTCATGTAATCGGGGTACAATATAACTAGAAACCCCATTTTTATAGTAACAGCCAGTTTTGTCAGTTATTAAATTTACAAAATATTAAGTATGTGAAAGTGAGTATATAAAAAAAGTAAAAATAATTTAAAAGAAAAAATACAGATCTTTGTACATATTTAGATCAAATTTCTTATCAGTAACTGGAGGTAATAGTCAACCAACTATTACCTCCAGTTAAGGTTTAAGTAATAATTATCATATGAATTAGATAAGAAATTTAAAAAAAGTAGTTAATACCAGCTTTTTTTAAAGATATAGAATTTTTGAATCAAAGTGTTTTATTTTCTAAGAGAAAATTGACTTGGTGATTTTTTCTTGTAAGTATTAGACTTTGTTGCAAATATTTTTTATTCTAATTAGTTGAGTATGTATGATATTAAGTATTACTGTCTTGGAAATATTGGACTGCTAATGCATGAATTTTATAGAAGGGAAATCAAAATCTCTTCTTTTGTCGTAGATTTTAATATCTTTAAAATTGATAATTTGCAAATCTACGTTATTAAATTATTCTTGTTGAAAGTTAGTTTTATTTAGTTTTAAACATGAAGGATAAATGCGATCATATTCTATTTGATTGTAGTTGTTGAATGTAATAATATCATCCATGTATCTGTAAATGTAAAGAGTAACATTAACATTGTACTTGAGATAACTGCTGTTGGAAATGCCCTTGGTAAAAAAGTATAAATTACAGATTGCTGAAGTCCCCATCGGGATACCGTTGATTTGTTTAAAAACAGCATTATTAAATGCTATGTAGTTATTAAATAGAATACTTTTTAAATACTGTTGCCATTCTTCTTTGGAAATAACAGTAATAACTTGTGGAAATAGATCTGGTAGAGTAATAAGATTGTCAAAGTCTTCTTGTAAAGAAAGAGCTGTGTAAATTCTCAAAATCGTAAAAATATTATCAATCTTTAAAGTGTGAAGTGCTTCTGTTATCCAGTTGAAATTATGCTCTTGTATCTGTTCAGTTTTAATAAAGAAGAGAACTTTTTGAAGTATTTTTGTGAAACATTAGTCTATTTCTTTCACGTAATTTCTGGTCCCGTTAGCTATGAATCGAAATTTGAATGGCATTTTGTGAAATTTAGGCAATGCATAAAGGTTAGAAAATATATAATTCAAGAACCTTAAACGAAAAAGAAAATGCCGCTTAACTATTTGAAGGCCACCTATTATCTATGTGAAACAAGTTAAATTAGTGAAATGCAAATGAAAGAAAATTACATTTCAACTAGAAAAAATTGGGAAATAGTACAGATAAAACAGTAAAAAAAATTTATTATCTCCTGTGTTTAATGCTTCAAATAGGACTTGTCAAGGAAAAAGTGTTTCGAAGCCTTAAACCAAGCTATTAATGAGTTCCAATAGACATGTTTCGTTCAAATGAATTCACTGAGACTTTAAATTGTTAAAACGTAATCCCATAATCTATACAAACTGCATCTAATTAAAAAGTCTTATTAAATTCACTTCTTTTCCCAAC